ATTTAAAATGAGGCACCACATGTGCATTGAGACATTAGATTTAATGTTTTATAAATGTCCAAAGCATATTCGTTATACATACACTGGACGAAGTGTTAAATTAGATAATGGATGAATAAACATTACTTTATACAGATGTGCACAGGCTTTGCGTGCTCCACGTAATCATTAGATACTTGATACAACCCCCACAATGCTTTCCTTTAAAAATATACATGCACCAATCATATACACTATCAACATAAACAAAAAAATAATATATTACTTAAAATAAGAACAAAATATATTACACAGAAAAACAAGTGGAAAAAATATAACCATCAATACCTATATTTAAAACATCTTGAAACAAAAAATAATAATAATAATTCATAAATCCGGCGCGTAGCGCCAGGCCGCACCTAGTTACTCTATAAACGATAATGTTTTTGAACAAAAAAAAAACGATAATGTCAATATAATTCAAGATACCGCCACTCTCGGCTTCAAGGGCATTATTACACCCTAAAAAGTTTTAGCTCTCACCAGTATTTTGACTAGTTCCGGATATTCCCAGTTCAAGTGCATGTTCTCAACACTCGTCGCCTACCTGAAGCAACAATTGTCAAGTTTCTTATACGTACAACCACACTTGACTACACATCTGTTATTGACAATTTTCCTGAAAGTAAGAAAGCTTTCATCTTCAACCGAGCTTACGGCACATAAATCTCTCTTCATCAAGTTTATTAGGAGCTTGCAAAGTTCGGCTCCACCACCTAAGAGAGGCTGACCGTTCGGTAGTATAAGTGCAAACTCTGCAGCCGTTAGGTCTAGTCGGTCCTTCTCTTCTTGTTCACAACTTCTTCATCGGTGAGCTCTACAATACACACTTTCTTGTGAAAAGGCTTTTCGTTTTTATTTAGGTTAGCTTTGAAAAACATGTGGAATGTGTGATCTTGAGAAGATAGACTCTACTGTTACTTAGCTAAAACTCATTGCTTCACATGTTTAAGAGAAGGTGTAGAGTGATTTTATCTCGTTGTTTTTCTTGGGATTTGTAGATGACATGGGCGGTGAATACACTTACATTGCTCCCCTTTAAAGAAAGAGATGCTATTCGAAGAGATGCCCTTCTCTTAATCGTGAGTTTGGTTTTATTTATTAGTGTGTCGAGGATTGTACTTTCCTCTCTTTTCTTGAAATTGACATATGTTGAATCTTGGCAGATTGATGACTGGCGTGACATAGCTCTCCCAAAGGACCTGACAAGAGGAACCAGAGTCAGGTCTTTAGGTGTGAGGATCGAGTATGAATGTATGATGCTCTTGCCACTATTCAAAAAGGCACTGATCTATGAAGAGAGGGCAGAGAAACAGCTTTGTGCCATTGCTGCATCAAATGTTTATCCGTAACTTCTCCTTCTTGCCAGATAATGAAGTTGTAATGGCTCAGCTCGCCATTGCGTCGAAACTGTTTTCAAGTGTTGACCGGTAAGAAGAAACCCTCATAACCTCTACTTCTTTATCTTGATTGGGAAGTAAGATCTTAGAGAATCTTTTGCTGACAGAGAATGAAGAGCTGGTCACAAACTCGCGTGAGACAATCGTGAACCTAGCCCATTTGATGGATCTTCGTATTTTTAGCTTGCTTAAACAGTCATACATAATCAAGATAACGTGAAAGTTTGTGTACACTTAAATTCTTCAGTCTCTAACTTAACATGAGTCATTCATTACTCTTCCAAATAGTGAAAAGAAAGCGGTTCACGCCGTGGTTGGAACTGTGCTGCTACTGAATTGCTAGGGCGTTTGATGATAATCAACCCGGACAATGAACCTTTCATTATTAGTCCCCTTATTTCGAAGGTTTCATCACTTATTTTATAATATAAATCATCTTATGGTTTCTTGTTAAATAGAAAAATGGACCAACTCCTTGCAGATACACAAGAGACCAGTCCATCTTGTCAAATATAAATCATCTTGTAAGAAAACACCAAAGAAGAAATCTGATTGCACTGCGGCCCAAACCCCACAGTTAGGACACTAAAAAGTCAACTTTCACATTTTGACTAGTCTTCACCCATATTTTGACCCGGTTTGTCCTGGGTTGATCCAACTCGGTTTAGAGTCTATAAATTTGTTATATTAAAACAAAAATACAAAATAACACATACCTATTTTAAGTGATTTTTTATAGATTTTCATTACACTTCATTTATTGTTCTTTTTCTAAATAATTATTTTATTTATTATAATCACTTCATTTAATTTATTTATTTTATTTATTGCCTTGCCTAAATATGAGATCCGGATAAATTCGGTTTTGATGTATAAAAATCTTAAAGTAACCAATAACAAATGTATCCAAATAGTTGTATCAAAAATAATCATAGTAACTGATTCATTTCGAGTATTTTGAATCCAAACTAATAATAACCTAAAAACAAATAACCAAAATAATCATATTATCTTATTTGATTCGGTTAGATTTTGATGTAAAGCAACTTAAAAATATTCAATAAATTATATAGTAACACATAAAATATAAAACACTAATCATGAAAAACAAAATATTAATTTATAAAATATAAAATTTAACATCTGTACGGACACGATCAATCTCTAGTATACATTTAAGGGAAATGAAAACCCTAAGTTATCTGAACATAGATTTTGTTTTAGACTTTAATCTTATATTTATCTTTCTTTTGTTTTTGTATTTCTTGTAATATCTGTTCCACTTTTCTATTAACATACTTTTCTAATAACATGGATTTTTAAGGATTGGTAACAGGTTCTTGATCTTTCACGGCTTTTAGTGAGTAGATTTTTTAAAGCTTTTGAATTTCGTAGATTATGATGCTTAATGCTTAATTAATATCCGGTGATTAGTTACATATATCCTTAATTTTGATGATTTTAATGCTATTTTAGAGTGGCAAAACATAAACTTTATACATATTTTTCATGTCCGAGCGATGTTCGATGAAATGCTTGAAAAAATAGTCAATGTGATTCATTTGCTTAACCAATGGAATTTGATGCTAGGGTTAGCTCTCAGGACTTAAGATTCATGCATTTTATGGTAATTAACTAATGAAAACTGATGTTAACAATTTTATTAGCATAAGAGTTTTATGATTATGAAAGTGGGTTGGCTCAAATTAGTGATCCTAGGCCCAAGGACTACCAATGGTTGATTTTTAAGTATCATAGGTTAGTGTTTAACTATGTTCGAAAACGCGGACTAGGCGGCTGGAAAGGCACCGGAAAAGCGTGAAGCGGACCACAACCATGGTCGATTGGAGATAATCGGCCAACAAATCGAAAAGAAAAAACTCACCACTTTTATAAATTTTAAGTCAATCACATATATATCTTAGATTTGATATACTTTGTTAGATCTTACAATAAAAACAAGAAGAATCATTGAAATCAAAGAAAAAATAATGAAAAGTGGCTAAAAATTGCAGAGAAAACGAAGGGAAAGACTGAAAATAAAGCCAATTTAGTTATTTTTAGTTCATTTAACCTAAAAAAAAATTAAATGACAAAAATAAGACCTTAATGCTCTTTTTAGCAGGGTCTATTCGGATCTTTTTAGCAGTTAGAAGACATAATAAGTTCTTTTGGAATGGGGTTAGAGCTTTTCAAGAAGTATACCAAATAAGCAGAAGCCATTATATAACGAGAAGTAATTACGTTAGAATAATTGAAAGTATTGTTCACCAACATATGATTATTATATAATAAAACAACAAGGATTAAGCCAAATCTATAAATTTCCCGTTCTGGAGATGGGCGAAAATATCTTTGTTCTTCACATTTTTGGTAGTATTCTTTCTTAAAAAACCATAAACGTCATTTCTTAATAACGAAGGGACGTTATTTCTTCTTGCATATTTTGAGTTGAATTTGGCTAGCCTATAATTATTGTTGATAGACCATGATTTTGACCCGTTTTTAGCCATGATTTTGATATGATTTTGATATGTGTTTATGAATTTTATATATGTTTTGAAATCTGTTAGGTATGTTTTCAGGTTCAGGAACACTTTGGAGTAAAATGATGATTTATGTGCCATTTTGGAGCTTAAACAGAGTTTTCCGAGATGACTATGAAGATCAGATAATAAAGACACATATCGATCGATACATACTCTGTGTAATCGATAGATGACGCTTCTATCGAAGATGAAGTCAAGATACTCCATCGATCGATGTACACCATGTACCATCGATCGATATGATGCGTGGAGAACACGTTCAACTTGGCCGACTTGAAGCCCAAGTCTTCTCAATATTACAAAAATGCCCCTGGTGAGTTTTTAACCTAATGAAACTCTTAATTATAGTTTTTGCCTTTGTGTTCGGTTAGACATGCTTTTTATGTTTCTAATACATTTTGATTCCTTTTATACTTGAAAATCTTTGCACACTTTTGTTGTTACTTTGTTCTATTCTATAAAGTATTTCGTTTCATCTTAATTTCTTAAAGGTTATAGAATTCTAGATCTAGAGGAAATACACAAAGATATTTGTTGTTCCAAGAACCAAAATTTCAATCCTCTAATCTATGAATTTCTATTATTACCTAGTTGTCATGAATCTCTCAGTTATGTCTGAGTAGATCTCTTTGTTAGATTTAGGGTTCAAACAGTTATGAGGGATTAGCCCCAACTATGGAATGTGTAATTGTTGATATTCATTATCAAAATGAACCATAATGTTTACTCTAGCGTAGCTACCTAGAGTATGATCATGGATGTGATTTAACTTGTTAATCATTGGCCTGAAATCATTTGACATGAGCTTAGATCCTCTAGGGTTATGCGAGAGCCGGTCTATGATCTTGGTGAACACAGTTTTGATTCGATCTTATGCTATATCGACCGATACTCCTATAGAGTCATCGATCGACAACAACCCATATCGTCCGATATCGCTGTCAAAACATCGGTCGATATTGCTGGCAATAAGATCAATGGATGTGTCTATTTAGCGACTGCTATTAGATTTATCTAAGAATCGAAGTTCTCATATATCTTGCAAGCAATTCATTAAAACATCTGTAGCATTATAATCCTGATTATCTGAATAGCAACCTTGAATCTAACTACTTTCTTTTATTGTTTCAAACCTAAATCCATTCTCTTAAGCAACTTACCATTGCTTATAAACTGTAACTTTACTATTTTTAAATCTTTTCAACCTAGCATAATCATTTAGATTATATATATTGTATTCCTTAGTTCCATGTGGATTCGATCCCTAAGTACTACAACTGAACCTCTTATTTGAGAGAGTAATTCACTTAGGGTTAAACATTTGAGTGATATCAAATTAGGGGCCGTTTCCGGGGAATTTTGATAACATTAAATTTAATCTGATTAGGTGTAGGTTATTTTTCTTTTATTGTTTAATTATCTTCTGACACCAAATTTTTTTTTGTCTCCTTCAGGTACATGCCCAGCAGTACTAGAAGCAACAAGGACAAAAACCTTTTGTACTCAGAAGATCCTCACGGCTTGGAACGTAGCATCCGCAAAGACCTACGCTCCTCATCGATCAACATCAACACATCCCTGTCGACCAATACTTGCCTACCACAGTCGACCGAGAGACCTTCAACGTCGACCGATACTCTCACTGTCACATCGCTCGACATCAACAACCGTTCGTCGACCGATACCTTTCATCCGACATCGATCGATATACCTCATCTTACATCGATCGATACTAACCGGCGAGATATGGTAGCGCCTATTATTCTCACTACCGATGAGAATGGAGACCTGCGTGACCAAGATGGTCACCTGCGTAATGCAGCAAGTCAGAAGCTGAACGCTCAGAAGGAGATCATACCTGAGCAAGCGACTGCACCTACAGGCATCATTCAACCTGTAGAAGAGGCTAACCAAGCCAAATCTTTGGCTGACTACAACCGTCCAGATCAGTTCTATTCCAACCGATCAGCCATCCGCCCCCCCTGCTATTTAGAGAGGAGATTTCGAGCTTAAGCCGCAGTACTACACCCTTGTAGGACAAATACTCTTCTGTGGGTTGTCCAATGAGCATCCTATGGACCATCTGGAGAGGTTCGAGGATCTCATAACCGTCATAAAAGCCAATGGAGTCCCTCAAGACTATCTTCTCTGTAAGCTTTTCAAGTACTCTCTATCTGGAGAAGCCTTGCAGTGGCTTAGACAACTACCACTAGATTCTCTCACAACCTGGAGTGATATCAAGAACGCATTCCTGCGTAACTTCTTTGATGAGTCACGCGCTGAAGAATGGAGGAAGAAGATTGCTACATTCAGTCAAAATCCTGAAGAGTCATTCAAAGATGCATGGAACAGATTCAAGTCCTACCAAAAAGATTGCCCACACCAAAGTTTCAAAAAAGTGCA